GCTCCGCGGGGTGTCTGCTTCTCCCCCTCCTTCCTGCTTGAGCTCTCTCTCACCATCTCTGTCTCTCCCAAATAAATAAATAAATAAATATAAATAAAAATAAAATAAACACCTATTCTGAAATGGGCATTTAGGAATCTGAGGTCCAAGAATGAGTCAAAGGGAATTCCCTAAAAACAGAAAGTCCAGATCTACCTTATTCTGAACATTCCCAAAAGAAATGTTATAACTCAGTTAAGTAACAATAAATTCAGTCAAAACTGATAAATCATACAGAGACAGATGAAAATAATCTTTGCAACTATATGAGACTAGAATATCCAGTTTAGAGATTAGAGGATAATAGGGATGAAGTTTATTTCATTTCTATAGCGAAAAAACACAAAAACTTACTCCAAAATCCTGTACATTCTTTTGTTTCAAAGATTTCAGAGAATTTCCAAATTGCTAAACCTTTCAGCATGTTAAGCTGTAAGCATTTTGAGAGCAAAAACCACACAGTATTCATCTTCAGCATCTAGCATTCTAGCAAATAACTGAATGAAAAAAAAAAAAAGTTCACTAAATGAATGAACGGCCACCACAGTACCATGTCCAAATTGTGCTGGTGCAAAAAGCAGTATAGCTCAAAAATACAAACTCTGAGGGCTCTACTCATTCCACAGAACACTTCTTTTCTTAGAAATAAAATGGTATCTGCAAAGAGATCTCATCCCTGTCCTGCGGGGGCGGGGAGAAATCCTTTGGGCAACACATTCCACACACAGGCTTCAAAGACAAACTTGAAGGTTGTCAACCCCTACAGTGTTTGCAAAATTCAAGAATGTACTACTCCTGTATGGCAGCCCAGTACTGTCTGGTCATTCATTCTAAAGAGCGGGAGAAAATAGCAATGCTCAGAGATAAAAGAATAGGTCCTTATTTCCACAAAAACTAAACCCATCAGTTGCGGTAGTAGGTCTGAAAATTGTTGGCACTTAGCTGATATTAACAGTGCAGAACTGTGTTTCAGGTTAATGATACCAACTAAAATCTATTATCCTATGTATTCTCAAAGAAATGGTCTAAAAAAAAAAAAAGTAATCCCATTTTTCTTTGCCTAAATTTCTATCAGATATTTTGGGTAGGAGCCACACGTTTTTATGCTACAAGAAAAGCACCAATTAGTAAAAATAAATACATACATTTGCAAGTTAAAAAAAAAAAAAGCACCAATTTGGAAATAAAGAAGTATACTCCCAGTTCCACTAACTATCCAGGCTAATAATGAAAAAAAGAAGGGAACACAGCTCATTTATTTTGAAATGTGAACAAACCTCAAATAAAAAGCCCAGCATTTTGGAACTCCTCTCTTTGCACTGCATTAGGCATAGAAGAAACTATGCATTTATTAAGAGAATGATACTCTAGATTTTAATTATGTATTTTGTATTCTAGGATCCCAATTACTGACTTAATAGAAGAGCCTGGAGCTAGGGTGGTGGTGCAGCTAATCAGAGACAGACCCTCTAGTCCTTCCCTTTTGCTAATTTATACAAATATAAAATAGGAATAAAAATAATTATTAAGGGTAACAGTATTTAAGTAAAACTGTTATGCTGAAGGTATGTTAACTTCTTAAATCCTTTGGACTGAAGGCTAAAAGTCAATTCTATCTTCATGAACTGAATTGAAGGTCTCTGGGTCCTTCGCTCCTTTTTGAGAGAACCATGGTGGCTACCTAGCACAGATAGAAAACCAATTCTGAAGTCACACAACCTAAAAAAGAAGTTAAAAGCGCTTTTAGAAAGGATGTTTGAAATGCTTTGGAAAAGCGCACAACAGTTTAAGACAAGCAGTAAACAGTATCAAACCATTACAAATCAGGACAAATAAGACAGGTAGAACTTCCGTATGGCTCCTATCTATTCTCTCCAAAATGTCCTTTCCTTACAATACTCTGCTCACAAATATCTGGCTCACACTAAGATGGGGTTTACCACAGCTTTTTACCTTTTACCCAGAAGAGTCAGTTCATTTCTTTAATTCTGCCATTACATAGCACTTAAGAAATCTAAAGCAACTGCAACATACTATGCTAAATTCCAAAAAAATAAAACCAACAAAACTCCAGGAAACGTGGTAACCACAATTCACAATATATTTAGTCAGAAGCTCTGGAATTAAGCTTACTTTTCTGCATTCTTACTCTGAATAATACCTAAACCCTCTTTAGGAGGTAAAGGATTTGATCCCTAAATTACATTATTAATCCCCTTTTCTACAGATATGTGATGTAGTCGAGATATGCTGTTCTCCGTTTATTAGGAATTAAAGTCCCCTTCATTTAGACTGCTTGGTTTTTATAGCGCTTTCCCACATACTCACTTCAAAGTATACACAACACGAACGTGTAATAGTTTTAGACTAATCAGGCACAAGATAATGCTTATCCAGAACTTACTCTATGTTGATTTACTCGATTCCACAAAGTACGGTCTTGAGGCTAACAAAATAAAGCGTGAGCACAATGAAATCTGTACCATTGCAGGTTCTCAATGAACAAACATTCCTTCCAATCATAAATCCGAACTCGCCCACTTCGCAAAGAAAAAGTAATCCCAATCTTAGAAACAATCACAAGGGAAGGAAAACAACGCAAATGCTAAACCACACATTCACGTAAATCCTTTCAATTCAAAGCTCCAAACGCAGCCACCAACCACACAATTGGCCACAGTCGCAGCTTTAGCGCCTTCTCTTAATTTTGAATCTGCAGACCGAAGGGAAAACAAAACAATTGTCCAAAGTTTCACGAAGTGGAAAAAAAATCATTTTAAGTAAAGGAAACACGTTAATGAAGAGGCGACCGCGCCATTCCCCCCCCGCCCCCCGTTTCCCTCCTTCCAGCCCTCGAACTAAATCTTGTCTACAACACTGACGGGAGGCAGGAGTCCCGGCAGCGCTGTTAGAGGAAGGAGTCAAACGAACCGCACGCCGCCTGGAGAGATGTCAGGGGCCGAGCGTCGGGAGACAAAGACCAGCCCGCGAAGCGCCCCGGCGGCGAGGGGCGGCCCCGGCGCG